AGTTTTGAGTGGAGTTTACCTGTGAAGTTGTCAAAGGCAGTGGGAATGTGTTCTGCCGGATATCCGTTGGTGGTGTAGCTGATAATCAGACTGGTTTTACCCACCGCTCCATCGCCGACCATCACACACTTTACCCGGCGTTCAGATGCTGCCGGCGTGTCTCGCGGTGGAGCTACTCGCGGTGGAACCGGAGGCGGAAAATCGTCTTCATTTACCGACTCGGCATCATCCTGCGACGGCATTGCGTTATCCGGTCAACAAATGCAACTTTTAAACACGACTGTGGTCGCTATCATGGTATGGTGTGTGTAGAATACAGCTTTATTTACCATTCCTGCATCGCTAAATGACGCCTGCTGGGTTGTTTCTCTCGCGCTCTCAAGTCAAGTTCGGTCCGGTTGATTGACAGACGAGCATCTGCTGCAGTAAAGAGGATTATTACACACACACACACACACGCGCGCGCGCGAGCAAGCTCAGTGATGCGTTTCACTGAGAGCCTCACATCTCCTGCCAGAGCTGGAGTTATACTTAAAAGTTGAAGAAAACTAGAAAAAAAATAGCCTATGTTCCCCTCTGTAAGCAATCTTTATAATAGTAAAACAGTTCAAACAATTATAGATAGATAGATAGATAGATAGATAGATAGATAGATAGATAGATAGATAGATAGATAGATAGATAGATAGATAGATAGATAGATAGATAGATAGATAGATGGATGGATGGATGGATGGATGGATGGATGGATGGATGGACAGACGGACCAACAGACAGATAGAACAATGGATATGTATATAGAACTACAGATGGAATGATAGATAGAGGGATAGATAGATAGATAGATAGATAGATAGATAGATAGATAGATAGATAGATAGATAGATAGATAGATAGATAGATAGATAGATAGAAAAGCACAAAAATCTGAATAAAATATGAGGTCAAGTGAAAGGTCAAGGATGTGGTGATGTGATGTGACAGGTCGTTGCTATGGTATTTATCATTTTTCAAAATATCTTCTTTTGTGTTCAACTGAAGAAAGAAGCTCAAACTGGTTTGGAACAAGTGAAGATTGAGTGTATGATGACACTAATTTCATTTTTGGGTGAACTATCCCTTTAAACCAGTGCCTCTGCTCTTTATGACGGTGAGTGCTGATGCTACTGAACAGTCTCTCCTCCATATCTCTGAGTGAGTGTGCGTGTGTGTGTGTGTTTGCAGCGAATCTGCACCTTCTGCCATCTGTCCACCCGTGTGCTCCTGCAGCCACCAGAAGGCCTCAACATGTGCTGATGTAAATGGAGAGCTCAACTTTCCCAGGACAGAGCTGACCCTGGCAGCCGCCCTCAAACACATACACACGCACACACACGCGTATATCACACCATCAAAGCACCTCACGCCCCTGATACACACACACACACACACACACACACACACACACACACACAGATCAGCTAAAAACACAATTGCTCAGTATTAGTCCATCAAACAGCCGTCAGATTGTGCCTGATAAGAGCTGATAGCAACACACAGTCACTTGTACAGCTATCTTTATGGGGACTTGCCTTGTAATGATGTTTATACTGTATATTCTGTGATTTATGAACTGTTTTTCTCATAAAAACCAAAACAGTTTCCTAAAGGTCAAAATCTACTGGTATTCCTATACTTGTGGGGACATTTGGTCATAGCACATACACATACAAATACACACACAGTTGTGTTGCCTCTGGAATATTCAGGGTTTTCGATGTGTATGTGTGTATTTACACTTCTGTGAGGTTCAATCTCATGCAACCTGTCATATTTCACGATAAAAGTCATAGGAAAATAGATCCAAATTAACGAATCATTTAGATTAAAGAAATTAACTTAAAGTTTAGGAGCATAGGTTCAGTTTTATTATATTACGTTATTATTTTCATGACAATTAAACGTGCAAAATGAGAATTAGTATATATTAATGAAATAATAAAGCAGACCAATTAATGTGATACTCAGGAAAATTCAGAAAATATTTCCATTGAAATATGCATCTTGAAGAATGATTTTAGTATTATTATAAGACTATTCGGGGAGGAAATTAGCAATTAAATCAATATAAGTGACAAAGTATACCATTATTTTACATAATTTATATATTCACATTGTAATTATACAGAAAAATAATTAATTCCTGAACAAGTTAAAGGATCTTGCTAATGAAAGAAACTAGATTACAATTTTTTAATATTAGTATTTATTGTATTAAGCTGATGATTCTTGATTTTATATATATATATATATATATATATATATATATATATATATATATATATATATATATATATATATATATATATAATTTATTTATTTCATGTTTTATTAATTCCCAGCAGCAATGATGCTTGTTTTTATATATTATATTAATTGAGTAATAATATTTTTATTTTAGTTTAGTTTATTCTGAATGATCATTATTTCATTTATTGCATTTTGGTAATGATATGTACGTATTTTTTAAATGATTATTTATTATTATAAATTATTATTTTTTATTAGGTAATTATTTTAATTATACTTATTTTATTAATTGCATTGGTAGTAATGATAATTGATTTATTGCAATATGTTAATGATAAAACTGATTAATTTATGTATTGCATTATGGTAATGAGATATATATATATATATAAGCATCAATATAATATTTTATTATTATTAATTCCCTGTAGCAATGATGCTTGTTTTTATTAATTATATTAATTTAGTAATAATACTTATTTAATGTTTATGCATTGTGGTAATGATCAATATTATATAATCCAGTGCATTTAGGTAATGATGTGTATGCATATATTTATTTTGTTTTTAAAATGATACTTATTTTATTAATTGCACCATAGAAATGATGAATGATTGATTGCATTATGGTAATGATATTTTGTGTTTTTATGATTTTAAAAAAATTATTATGAATTCACTGCAGCAACGATGCTTGTTTTTATTAATTATTTTAATTTAGTAAAAATACTCATTTAATTTTTATGCATTATGGTAATGATCTTTATTTTATTTATTGCATTTTGGTGATGATATGTATGCATGTATTTTTAAATTATACTTATTTTATTAATTGTATCATAGAAATGACAAAGAATTGGATTGCATTGTGGTGATGATAAACCTTGATTGATTTATGTATTGCATTATGGTAATGATATACATTATTTACTTAATGTTTAATTAACTGAGGTAATGATGCTGGTTGCCTTTTAATTGCATTATAGTAATAATAGTAATTTTATTATTCTGCATTACGGTAATGATTATTATTATTAATTGCATTTTGGTAATGATGCATATATTTTATTTTTTAAACTATACATATTTAATTAATTGCATTATAGCAATGACGATTAATTACATTATAATGATAAACCTTAATTATTTTATGCATTGCATTATGGTAATGATATATATATATATATATATATATATATATATATATATATATATATATATATATATATATATATATATATATATATATATATATAATTATCATTTCAATGCAGCAATTATGCTTGTTGTCTTTTTGTTTTATTATTGTGCATTATGGTAATGATCATTATTATTCAATTAAGTGCAGTTTGGTAATGATGTGTATGCAAGTATGTATTTATTTTATTTTTAAAATGATACTGATTTTATTAATTGCACCTTAATAATGACTAATGATCGATCTCATTATGGTAATGATAAACCTTCTTGATTAATTTATGTATTGCATTATGGTAATGATATATATATACTTATTTAAGAAATCATTTTTATTATTAATTCACTGCAGCAATGATGATTGTTGTCTTCATTAGTTGCATTATAGTAATAATACTCATTTTATTATTCTTCATTATGGTAATGATCAATATTTCATTTGTTGCATTTTGGTAATGGTGTGTGTATGTATTTTATTTTTGATTCATACTTATTTTATTAAACGCACCATAGTATTGACGAATAATTGATTTCATTATGGTAATGATAAACCTTTTATTTATTGTTTTGCATTATGCTAATCATTTTTTATTGCATTATGGTAATGATAATTACATCATTATAATGTTTCTTTAAGTAAAACATTATGTAAAACATAACAACTTTTTTCAGATTTTGTGTTGAAATATGACCTGGGCCCACAGATTTGCAGTGTGTGAAAGTGTATGTGTGTGTGTGTGTTGACGCAGATGTGTCTTTACACACACAATGCTTCCAGTGCTTTCCCTGAGGACCTGCAGGAGTGTGTGTGTGTGTGTGTGTGCGTGCTGTGGGAGGACTCTATCTTAATAGTGTGAGTGTGAAATAAGGGGCCGGATCATCTGATGGGTAAAAATGATTAGAAGAGGAACACAGGGCTCTAAGCCGGGGAGGGACGGACGCACGGATAGAGAGATTCTCAAAAGAAAGAAAGAAAGAATGAAAGAAAGGATGGGGGTGGGAGGGATGAGAAAAGACACTGGGGATGCAGAGGGGTGCGAGGCCACGACCATGTCGCACACTTTTTTTGTGCCTCAGTCAACAGGCGTGTGCCGTCATGAGTGTGTGTGTGTGTGTGAAAGCACAGGCCTGCTGTCCAGCTTTAGTTGAGAGCATGGGAACCTTCTGAACACACACTCCTAATGACCCGTGTGCTGCTTTTATTATCTCAGTCACACACACACACACGTACACACACTCCTAATGACCCCTGTGCTGCCTTAATAACACACCAACAGGCGTCATTAGATTTGTCCACACAATGGCATTATCGCACAGATCAGCTTCTGCAACAGGACGACACACACATGCACACATGTGTATGTGTTTGTGGAGACTTATTTTTGTGTTAAAGTAGTGGGGCAGTGTTTTCAATTTGGATTTGTAAAATTCTCCCTTTGTAGAAATATATAGAGACATGTAAATGTTTTCACTGTTAAACGTGTGTAAATTCATAGTAACATTGTATGAGTGAGTTTCTGAGTGTGTTTGTCTGTGTGTATATGATAAAAAAAAAAAACTTTGCATTATGGTAATGAGAAAGGCTTTAGACTATGGTAATGACAATTATTTTATTGGCGGTTCATTCCTCTGTGGCGACTTCAGAATAATAAAAGGACTTAACCAAACAGAAAATGAATAAATTAACTATTTTATTTACTTATTGCAGTGATACTCACGTTTTTCCATTATGGGAATGATAATTATTATTTAGATTTAATAAATTATGGTGATACTTGTTTATTTTTTAGCTATTTTATTTATTTTCCATATGCTAATAACAATTATTGTATGTATTTATTCAATTAAGGCAATGACTGTTTATTAATTTTTTAAATAATTGATGAACTGTCAACTCATTTAACTGACACAGGACAGCTGTATTAATATGCGTGTGTAATGTTGTTTTTGAGTTGTAAAATTTATTTAAGCTCTTTTTCCTTTATCAGATTACCTCTTCATGTCGTGTTTTTTATTTCCGATTCACCCGCACTCTATTTATTGAAAATACAAACTCCTGCCCTTAGGAAAAATTTATTTATTTATTTTTATTTTATTTTCTCATCTGTGATATTTCTATTTTACACTCT